GAGTTCGCTTCCTGCTTGGCCGGGTATGGCACCTGTGCTACCTGCTAATCTACACGTCACAGGACTACTGAGACCCAGCCAATAAAACGCAGCCGTACAGCCCTCGCCGAGTCCCCGCAGTAGAAGGGCTGTGTGCCAAGGTGGCGAGGCCCGTCTTTCCGGTCTGTTCGTGAGGCCTCGGGCATGAGAGGGTAGAGTGACTCAAATGTGAAGGCTTTTTAAAATTTTCTTCCTGCTTCCACAGGCTGGAAGTCATTTTGCCAGCGGGCTTGCTGGGGTCGGCTGTTCCTAACTCAACAGCAGGCCACCTGATTTAAAACCTCCCACCTCCACGCGGGGGCCTCTCCTCGTGACTCCACGCGTATGTGATTTAAGAATTCACACCTGCTGCCCTGGCCAGTTTGGCTCAGCGGTTAGAGCGTCGGCCTGTGGTCCGGAGAGACCCGGGTCAGTTCCCGCTAAGGGCACGTACTTCGGTTGCAGTTTGTCCCCGGCCCTGGTTGGTCGTGTGGGTGGCAGCCACTCCATGTGTCCCTTTCACATCGATGTTTCTCTCTCTCTCTCCCTCCCACTCTATCTGTACAAAAAATGGAAAAATATCCTCGGGTGAGGATAAAAAAAAAAGAATTCACACCTGCTGATTTCAAGGGGGCATACAAGGCGTGGATTTTGAAAATCACCGAGGGGAGCCAGTGGCTTTATTGGTGCCACCACGGATGAAGCATTAACAGGGTCTCATTGGTACGTTCTCGAGTAACGACAGTGGGCACGCGGTATAATCGCCGTGCACCGCACTGATGTCACGCGTTTCTGATCCAGAATCCAACCCAGAGGGAAGCGAAGGGAGACCCAGGATGTGGCCACGCAGCCGTCAGAGCAAGCAGTCTGTCCAGCGATGCAGGGGGTCCCCCCAGTCGCGGACTCCCAGGCTGAGTCATGGGTCCAGAGGCCTCCTTCCCCTCTGGCCCAGCTCAGCTCCTGCCCACAGACTCACGAGGCAGCAGCACAAGGCCGGGGCTGTGCCCAGTGATGGAAGGCGGGAGGGGAAGACAGTTCTTTCCGCCAATGAAGCACATTCCCACCAAACTAACACCTTGGTCCGTCTCAGGGAGCTGCTCTGTGCCTCCCAGAGAAGATGACACACAGAGGGGGTCTCCCCAGATCCCGGCTGGCTTCTCGGGCCTGTGACATCAGAAACAGTGGCAGGGATGACAGAATGTCCCTACTTGAAGCCCAGGAGAAGGCTCAGTGCTTATTTATGTCAACCCTGTCCTTATGCACAACAGGAAGGAATGGGCAGGGGTCAAATAGTGTGGAATTCGAATCTGTTTTCCATTCCAAGGACCTTCTGCTGGAATCATATCTTTGGAGCTGGTATTTCACTGAGTGTGATTTGCTGTTATGAAGCATTTTCCTTTTTCTCCCTAGAGTTGAGCAGATACAGAGACACGTATGTTTTGTCTGGTTATTTTCTTGTATTCTAAGAGTACAGCACTCGGCACACAGGAGTGTGTTTTGATCATTTTTCTGTATCAGGATTAGGGTTGCTTAGAGGGGTTACTAATTAGGCTATTTTTTGTGTTTTTCCCCTTTATTGATTTGAGAGAGAGAGGAAGAGAGAGGGAGCGAGAGATAGAAACATCCATGGAAGAGAACACCGACTGGCCACCTCCTGCATGCCCCCCACTGGGGATCAGGCCCACAACCTGGGCCTGTGTCCTGACTGGGGTTCGAACCGGCGACCTCTTGGTGCAGGGTCGATGCTCAACCACTGAGCCTCACCGGCCGGACTAGTTGGACTGTTAATGGCACATTAGATGCTCTGATGCTTCCTTCAGTACATTCTGACGTCACTGCTAATTGGTGTGAGCAGTTGCCATACAATGGGGATGTTTTTATTTATGGGAGTCTCTGGTGGGTGGGGTTAGGAGATTCTTTTCCAGGCAGTGACACAGGGTTACACGCACTCCACCCTGTTTCGTGTGGCCCAGGTGAGGCTTCTCAAAAGTCCGGGGAGGAAACTGGACTTCTCTGATTACAAGTCAGCTGGTGGTACTCTGCGTCTGATCTTTCTTCTTCACGCCAAGGACTCTTTGAAGTTTCCCGATGTCTGGCAGATTGCGGGACACAGAGAAAGATGAGCTGGGAGACGCTGGTCAGAGGTAAGAGCATATGACCCTATAATTTTGGGTAAATCACCTGTGTGGTGGGGGGACCAGGATATCTTTGCTGTATTGTCTTTGAGAATTTTGCCATGTTTTTTTCACTAAAAGTTTAGGAGCAAAAGAAAAAAATATCATTTCCCACTTGAATGTTATAAGTATTTGGATATATTCAGATTTGGTAATGGAGGTGTTAAGAGTGATCTCAGGCCTTTTGTCTTCAAACTGGAAGACTAGTTTGTCTGTTTTTGTTTTTGTTTTAAGATTTTATTGATTTTTAGAGAGAGAGGAAGGGACAAGGGGAGAGAGGGAAACATCGATGTGAGAGAGAAACATTATATCAGCTGCACGACCCCTACTAGGAATCGAACCAGAAACCCAGACATGTGCCCTGACCTGCAATCAAACTGGCAACCTCTAGGTGCACCGGACGACACCCATCCCATTAAGAGAGAACTCAAACTCCATAGGCTATGAGATGTGAAAGCAACTCAGAGGGGCACAATTTCAAGAAAGATTTTTCTCCCAAAACTTCTCCTCTACTTTCTCCATTTTAAAAGTGCCCTCTCTGTCATTTTGAAGATCTTAGCGTTGGATTCAAATTTATGATATTGCTGCTAAGTATAAAAAGAATAATATGCATGGAGATTGTCCTTCTAAAATACACTGCCTAGGTTGATACTAAAAGGCAGACCCTGCTAAAATATTTTCAAGATGGTTGTCTAAGGACTTCAAGAACTTGGACTTGCTAAATACTTTATATTTATTTATATCAATAAATACATACATATATAAATCTTTATTTATATAAAGTTTCTTGTTTCCATAACAAGTGAAGGTGGTGATATTATTAATAAATTTCACCCAAGAACAATAATAGGCAATGCAGAGTTGGATGCTGGGAAATACCTGACTTGGATTTATGCCAAGTACAACCCATGAGAGGCGGTGTCTAAAACCTCATTTCTCACTTAATTGTTTGGAACGCAAAATCTTCGTAGAAATTTGTGAAGCCCCCGGCCCACACGAGTCTAATTCAGTTATACTGAACTTGATGCATTGTTAATGGTATTACTTAAAAACACCATCCTATGGTTTATAATAGTATTTCCTTTGCCACCCTCGGAAGGGGGAGGGGAGGGGGAGGGGAGGGGAGGTGCTCCTGGGTGTCAGCTCTTCATCTCTGTCTGAGCCATGTTTCCACATGGATACATTGCATCTTCAGGGGATCCGTGTCTCACTGAAGGCCCTGCGTTGGATTTCCCCCACACAGCTGATGTACGAGGATGTATGAGTCAAGGGTTCTTTCTTTTTTGGAAGAGAACTAATTATAGAGAAAAGAGAAGTTCAAGACGCTGGAGGAGAAGTGGTTTTGGGTTCACAGAATTTTTTTTTTTCCAAGTCTCTGCAGTGCGGTAACTTCTTGGGTAGAAACAAGTTTTATTTGGGGGAAAAAAGTATGTGTGGTACAGTTTGCCTAATTGTGAAACCGAAATCCACAGAATAATTTCTGAAAAGGTCAGACAAACTGTGTAGCACTTGTAACCTTGAACACCCTGGTGTCACGGTGACAGACAGGTACTTATTCCCATTCTGCAAATGTGGGAACCGAGAAACCGAAGTCAAGCGTCTCACCCAAAGTCACGCTATGATCACACGTTACTCTGAAGTGTACATTTTCTGTTTCCTCATTCTGTCCTGTCCCCGGTGTAGACCGCGGGCCGGGCTTTGCAATACACCAGGTTGTGTTTCCCAAGTAACACCCACCTTTGGCGAGAACATTGAGAACGGGTGGGACTGAGTTTCCTTTTGGGCTCTTGAGCCTCAATTCTGTGCTGAATTCCTGAAGCTCCTCATTTGACTTTGACGTGTCGTGACTCACCCTTTTCATGCCGCCTGTGGTTTCCTCGCCTCTTGCGTTGTTTTTTTTTGAGAATCTTGTTGGAAGCAACCCCGGCTTGGGTGACAAACACGGTGTCCATGCATCAGGGGTGGTGACTGTTAGTGGGAGAAGCCTCCAGAAGGTGTCTGTGGAAGTGCCCAGCCCTGGACGATCCCTGGAAGGTTCTTCAGGAGACTCTTCCTCCATGTCTTCTCCGGGGATCCCCGGGATGAAGGAGCAGAGAGAGAGGCCTGTCAGGTGGTCGACGGCGGCAGGTGAATCTGCCATTGCTCCTGGCCGAGCTCACGGCCTCTCCCTCCGGAAAGAGCTGGTCAAAGCATCTGTCATCGCAGTTATGACAAGTCCCAGGCCTGCCCACAACCTGCCCACCTCCTCCCGCTGCTCTGAACAGGTTGGCTATTTGGAGTAGCCCCTGGGCCTGTTTCTTCAGCGGGCTCCCCAGAAGGCCTTCCATGCCACCTGCCACTGTGTGTCTCAAAACTCAGTCCCCGCTTGCAGGCAAGTGGCCCCTGACCTGTGGCCACCCGAGTGGCCTGTTCGGCAGGTGCACGTGGGTGGGCGTTCCTGAGTGAGCAGGGGGCGGCCCAGGTTTCACACCGGGGTCCCCAGGCCATGGCTGGAGGGGCGAGGGGGGCCTGGCGGCCAAGGGGCAGCCGAAATGGCAGGAACCGCCCCGCAGGCGCGCCGGGGACAGCGCGGCGCCTGGGCGTGGGGACCCGGCCCCGCGCGGAGAACGCGGCCGCCCAGTAGGAATTCGGGGCCGGGGCGCGGGGGGTGGGGGCCGCTGCGCGGTCAGGTGCCAGGTGCGCCCGCCCCGCCCCTCGCCCCGCCCACTTCCTGGTCGGCGGCGGCGGCGCAGGAACTCAGGCCCCGGGCGGCGGGGACACGGGCCGCGCCCGCTGCTGTCACAGAGGCCGCGGCCGGGCGGGCGGGCGCGCGGCGACATGGGCACCTGGGCGCTGTAGCCGCCGCTGCCCCGCGCGACCCCAGCGCACGGACATGTGACCATGGACAGCAGGACGCGGTGAGTGCGGGCGCTAGGCCGCGGGCCTGGCCACCACCGGCGGGCGCCCAGTGGCCGCTGCGTCCTGCCGGGCCGGGGCCCCGCCCGGGGCCGAGCCCTTCCCCGCGGTTCCGAGTGGGTCTCCTGCAGGGCTTCTCTCCTCCCGCCCGGCCTGCAGCGCGCCCGGGTCTGCGCAGGGAGCCGGCAAAGCGGCATCCACTTAGATAGTATGTTCACGGGCTGGTTTGAGCCTGCAGCTGTGGGTGGTTTTCTCCAGGACCTCAGGAGGTCGAAAGCGATTTCAGCTGGTGTGAGGATTCGGTTTCCTGTTTGCTCTCTCTCTCTCTCTCTCTCTCTCTCTCTCTCTCTCTCTCTCGAAAGTTACTTGGCAAAGAATTCCTTCCCTCTTGCCTTACCACCCCTTTCTCACTACCCCCCCCCCCAGCTTTAAAATAATGAATATCGTGTATAATTCTATTACTGTGGGAGGCTTCTTCCATTTCTCAGTGTAAGGTCGGCAGTATTTAATTCTTACACCTATGAAACCTTCCAAGGCATGCGAGGAGAATTCTGTAATTTAAAATGATTTCCTGCAGTGTTTTGACATCGTGGGGGCGGGGTGAGTGATTGAAGAAGTGTACTTTTGACATTAGGTGGATTATGAAGGAGGAGGTCACCTGAGTCAGATTGTCACCATTGAAAGAAGTTGACAGTAGGAGGGCTGAGGAAGTGTATTTACTTGCAAATTAATTTATATGACTTGTCACTTCCTGTTTCTAGATTCCTGTCTTGTAATACCATTTAAAAAGAAAAAGAATGTTTCTTTAGAAGCTCTAAGTGGCCCTGGGGACGGTCGTGAAGGAAGTGTAGGTTTGAACTAGCCAGTGTGCAAAGGCTTGAAGGTCTCCTTACCAGGAAAAACTGAAATACAGGAACACTTTGGTCACGTGGACGCTGTGGTATCAGACTTGAATCTTTTATCTTCTGGAAGAAAGAGATGAAAACAGAACTCTGTTTTGAAAAAGAAACACAGGGTCTCAAGAGATTTCAGTTCACTTTCGGAAACTGAGCCAATGGATAGATTGAACGTATGAGACGTTGGTACGAAGTTGATGTTCTCTGAATGAGGCGGGGCAGCCAGGCGGTTCCTAGTGGGAACATCCAGTGTGTAATTTCCCCAACAATAATGGGCATGAGACAAGGCTTTTTTTGTTGGCCTTGGAGTCTGTGTCTGGTCTGCCACTTGGAACAAGCTGAAGTAGAGTAATTACATCTCAAGAGAAGCATGTGCAAAGCGTTGCATGTAAGGAGCATCATGGATGTTTCCCGGGGCTCTGGGAGGGGGCAGGTGCAACCACGTTATTCATCATTCACACTTATATTGTGAGTCCTGGGAGGAAGGGCGGAGAACCTGCCCTCAGCTCTGTAGGCAGGACAGGTGGCCATGCCCGGCTTGCCTTTAGCCTCCGGACCACGAAGACGGCGCTTTCCATTTCTCATCACGTACCTCTTTATAAAGCACCTCCAGATGTATGACTTAATTTATAAGCCTCACAGTTATTCCGTGATGAGTTCCATGTTCTGCCTGGCTCTCTCAAGTTGCTGAGCCAGAGTAAAAAAAACAAAAAAACAACCACCCTGTATTTCTGCTGCACTGTGGTTGTATAGTTACATGGCGTCTATGGAGACAAGAACAAGATTTGTTTTCAGAGGGATGAAAATACCGGCTTTATAGGGATGCTTATTTACGCCATAGGAACTGAGTATAACAAAGTTCTTTTTCGTTTAGGGAAAACCCAGAAAGAACCTTTGACTTGGTGTTGAACGTGAAATGTCACGCCTCTGAAAATGAAGGTACGTGTGTGTTTTGTCAATTCTTAAAATGGTCGAGTCTGTCAAAACAACTGTCCATGCTGCGGATGCCTGGGACAGAAGCGTCTAGGGTAATAATTCTAAATGCACCTACTGTCCCAAGTTGTTGGGAATAAAATAGACGCTAGGTCTTGGCCCCGAGCTCGTAGAAATCACGACTGTCACCCGTGCAGCTTAAATTTCAGGTGTGTGTGCCATTTACATGCGGCCTTACCATTGGTTGATGATGCTTTGGTGGAAGGGGACACCTCTTCATTTTCTTTCATTCGACTTCGGAAAGCTAGCTCCTTTCTTAGTCAGTAGAATTCTCCGCCAGTGCAGTGGGAGCCACGCCGATTTCCTTCTGATGTTTCCGGAGTGGCCCTTCCTGGTGGACGGATGTCCCCGGCCAGCGCTTGCGGAGGGAGGTGAACAGCGGTGTGACTTACTGGGAAGGGTTTCGCTGTAGGTGTACAGCTTCCCAAAAGATGAGAACACGTGGGTGGTTTTGTCCGTCTTTCCCCTCTTGTCATCTGTGTGGGGGGGGTGGGGGCAGGTGTGGGGGGAAAGAATGCCGCTGTCTTCCTGCTGTCCCTGTCCACGTGTCCTTGTGCAGTGTAGTCACGGCTGTGGCGGCGTGACTCCCCAGCACGCCGCTGCAGTGTGGGTCTGTGGGGGTGAGCTGCCATTCCTGGTGGAAAGCCGGCGGACACACTTAGCTTCAGAAACTGGCCGGCAATTATAGGCTTTTTTTGTTTCTTCTTCTTCTTTTTTTAAGCAATTGTATGCTCTTAAGCAATTTGGAGCTGCACACCTTAAAATAGAGGAGCCCCGCCCAGCTGTGGCGAAGTGGGCATGAGTAATTTTAGGTGGGAAGTCACACCTAGCCCCGACTCCGCCAGCCGGGCCTGCGGCACCTCTGCCCAATGGGCCAGTGGCAGCGCAGGTTTGTGCCAGGGGAGGGGTGAGGGCAGGTGTAGGGAGCTTCTTCCGACTCACAAGGTTAGCTCTGCTGTCCTCTGTGCACTACAGTGTCCACTTGCATGCTTTCGGGGCCTGGCCAGCTTCTCTCTGATGGCTCAAATCCCCCATTTTTGTCCAGCTCCGGCGTAAATCTGGTCTCTGGTGCGTGATGGTCTGATCAATCCTCGAAACGCCTGCCACTTTGTTAGCTCGGGAGCCTGGAGCGGTACTCACGGGGGTGTGTGTTTGTAAACGGGGCCCAGTTCCTTTGGAAAAGACGATTTCTCTCCGATTGTATTGTTTCCGTTTTCATTTTCTTCCTAAGAGCAAAGTCTTTTCTGTTGTTTAAAATATATCACAGAATAATCGTATTTCTTTTTTTTTTCAAATGAAGTTGAAAAATAGTCTATCTGTTCTCTTCTCTTTGGAAGCAACAGTGTGTACGCTGCACATGTGTAGCAGGGAGTGAAGTTAATTGCAGTTAACCCAACTCACTCAAATGCAGTTTATTTTTGTTTTTTTATCCTCACCCAAGGACATTTTTGCATTTATCTTCAGATAGAGTGGGAGGGAGAGAGGTGTGAAGAGAGAGAGAGAAACATTGATGTGAAAGAGACACATTGGCTGCCACCCACACGACCCCAACCGGGGCCAGGGACAAACTGCAACCGACATACATGCCCTTAGCGGGGAACCGAACCCGGGACTCTCTGGTCCGTGGGCCAACGCTCTAACCGCTGAGCCAAATCGGCCAGGGCTCCAAAGCATTTTAAATGGGTAGATCTGTTGGAGAACAGTACTGCTTTGGCTGAGAAGCTTTTAGTCTCATTTTTAACCTTGACCGAAGTAGATCGCAGGTCATCACCCTGAGTCCAACACGCTCGGTTCTCAGAGAAAGAGATCATCACTCCTTTTAAGCATATTCCTTCTGCCACGGCTGTCCATTTTAATTTCTGTTAGTCTACAGACATCCATCTGAAATCCATAACTACGTATCGTTTTCATCTTTCCCTGTTTATCAATGAGAAACAGATTATAAAGTGAGCAAGCACAAGTAATCACTACGAGGGGAAACCAGTGCGTGGAAGCACATGACGAGTGTTCGGTTGCCCGAGCCACACGGCTGTCTCCCCTTCAGCTCTCGGGCGCCGCTGTGTGTGGGCCCGGGTTATACTGCAGCGAAGGGGACACGGCTTTGTTTCTCAATCCAGAGGCGTTCTTCCATGTGGTGAGAATGGTTCCATTGAAGTAGAAAGACAAGAGCGAAATACATTATAGCAAAGTCTGTTTTCTTGGAAACAATGTTACAACTCGGCACCCAGGGGTGACTTTGTTGCTTTAGAAGACAAACTTCCAATACGCACGTAATGAGCCCAAACAGAACTACACTGCCGCTCAAACGATCACAATGGAAAAGGGGCCGAAGTCTAACTGGAGCCACAGAGCTTCATGTTAGGAGGCTCTGGGACTGATCTCCAAGGACAAAGACAGCAAACAGGAAATGGTCCTGGACAGTGGAGAGAAGCCCACCGAAGAGGAGGGGAGGCGGTGTGTCCTGAAGGGGCGGGGCCGCCAGCCTCTGTCCACAGGCACGCCCCAGCAGCCGAGCCCTGTGGCACACGCTACCTGGATTCTCTCGTCTCTTGCCTTGGACTCATCACCCTCCTAAAGACATCAGACGCCTCCCCCAGAACCATCTAGGGCTTCAGGGGGTGAGTGGGCTGGAAGTTCAGAGACCCTGGCTTCAACGCATACCCCGGGAGAGACTGGGAACCGATCCGGTCTTGCTGGTGATCTGTGAAGCCCTGCTCGTAGCCTTCAAAGACGGACCACAGGGCGGCTGCAGCCTAGGTCAGGGTCTTGCAGGACAGGGGCACACTTCATAGGGAGCCCGAAAGCCACCCTCGAGCGCCGAGGGAGAGCCCCGGACAGCCTCTCTAGTGGTGAGTGCGTGCTGAAACCATCGTGATAAGAAGACCCAGCTGCCTTCGGGGACACCCGCTCCGTGTCTGCAGCAGGGAGCTTGTGACTTTGCGTGGGGACTGAGTGGTTTACTCCTTCCTCACTCCCTTCCCGTCTTCTAGGAGCAAGTTTGTCCAGTTCGATTTGCCCACTTTTATTATCCTCCTGCCCTTTCGCTGCTCATGTCGAAACCACTGCTTAGAAACATCATCTGTATTTCTATTCTTTTAAAAATCCTCACCCAAGGATATTTTTTTGTTTATCTTCAGATAGAGTGGGAGGGAGGGAGGGGGAGAGAGAGAGAGGAACATCGATGTGAGAGAGACACATCAACTGGTTGCCTCCTGCACGACCCCGACCAGGGCTGGGGACCGAACCACAACCGAGGTACGTGCCCTTGACCGGAATCGAACCCAAGAGTCGTTGGTCCTTGGGCCGACGCTCTAACCATTGAGCAACTGGCCAGGGCTCGTCATCTGTATTTCAACAGTTTATCCAGCCCGCTGACGTTGGAAATGCAATAATCGGTTCAAATAAACGGGGGGCCTCTCAGAAGCTCTCAGTGAGTCCACGTCCCCGTGTATTCTGTGAACAAGGCTGGCTGGCAGCCAATTGTGAAGATTTTTTAAAAGCTAAACTCAACCACGTAAAAAGTGTTCACAACTTTTCTTCTTTTGATTGTACTTAAATAGTATGAACATGACCCTGGATGGTTTGGCTCAGTGGACAGAGTGTCGGCCCATGGACCAAAGAGTCTCAGGTTCGATTCTGGTCAAGGGCACATACCTCGGTTGCGGTTCAGTCCCCGGTCCTGGTTGGGGGTTGTGCGGGAGGCAACCAGTCGATGTGTCCCTCTCACATCGAGGTTTCTCTCCCTCCCATCTTTCTCCCTCCTTCCCACTCTATCTGAAAATCAATGGAAAAATATCCTCGAGTGAGGATTAAAAAAAAAAAAATGAACATGACTAATACATGTAAAAATATGAGTTATATTTTTTTTGTATTTTAAAAAGTAAATGCTACTATATAACTACACTTTTATGTCAAATTGAGAGTTTGATGTTTGTAAATGTTTATTTTTTACTTTGGTACATATTAAAAGGGAAAATGTTCAGAAATCATTAAAGTTACTAGAATATTCCTATTTAACTGTCAATAAAACCTATCTATTTAGCTCTGGCTAGGTTGCTTCTCAGTGGTTGGAGAACAGTCCTGATACGCTAAGGCTGCGGGTTTGATCCCCAGTCAGGACACATACAAGAATCAACCAATGAATGCGTGAGCAAGTGCAACAGCAAATCGATGTTTCTCCCCCCCCCCCATCTCCCTCCACCTTCCTCTCTCTCTCTCAAATCAGTGAAAAAATAAATAAAATTAAAAACCTATTTAAATAAAAATCTGATACATCAGTTTGTGTAAAGCAGCGGTTCTCAACCTGGGGATTGTGACCCCTTTGGGGGTCAAATGACTCTGTCACGGGTCACCTAAGACCATTGGAAAACACGTATTTCCGATGGCGATTCATAACAGTAGCAAAATTACAGTAATGAAGTAGCCACAAAAATAATTTTATGGTTGGGGGTCACCACAACGTGAGGAGCTGTATTAAAGGGTCGTGGCGTCAGGAAGGTGGAGAACCTCTGGTTTAAAGGAACCTGGATGATGCTCTTATGTAGCAATAGACATGAAAAACAGAATGTACGAAGTAGGGTGCTTTAGGGCACAGACATGAAGTCTGTTTAGATGATGAGGAGGCTCGCTGGCTAGTTCTTCGAAGAGGAGGGCTGGAGGAGGTCATGGAAGACCCTGGTTCGTCCTGCGTCTCGACCCTGCGTCCGCAGCCAAGTGTCACTGACAGGCCCAGATTTCTGCAGCTCCAGTGTGGCTGTCAGGGAAGCCAACTCTCTGCTTCTCGTGGCCAGGAAGTTTCCTCCCCAGGACCCCCGAACCTTGGATCCCAGGGACCCAAGTTGGACTGGGCCTGCTCATTCCTGAAGTAATCGTTGGTGTTGCAGTCAAGGGATTTGTGGGAAAGTGATCACGACCGATTTAGTCAACACCTGGCTAGGATTCGATGT